GTCCCCTGGAACTACTTGACCTAGGAGGGCAAGGAGCAAAAACTGTCCTTTATGTCCCTCTGACCAAATTATTATAGGCTTTAAAGTATGTCTGTTAAACATTCAAGAAGGTTAGTTCCACCAGTCCGGTACTTTTAATTACTGTGTGTCATGTAGATAACTCTTGGGCAAAGACCACTTATTCTCAGATAAACATTACCTAGACATGTGTTTCTTGATCTGGTCTGTATAATTTGTCAGTAGGTTGTAGGAGTAATATGGTTCCCTCTGGTTTTCGTGACTAGCTAGGCATTGTTTCTCTCTTGTATCGTCTCACCCCTCTATCATGGTTTTCCCACTTAAGGTGCCCCCACTTTCCCCCTTTCTCCCTTACTAATACCCTTCTCCTATGGTCTTACCTCTTGAGCTCCTTCTTTCCGTTTATCCCCTAGGTTCCTTGTATACCCTTCCTTCCCCCCTCCCTTAAACTAACCCAAGTTTTATCCATATCTCCATTACTAAGGCCTGTTTCCTACTGTTCTTCTCTTTCAGGTTCTTTTTTTTTCCTTTACTTCTCTGGTTCCTTTCCATTATCCTGGTTCCTGTAGTTATGTCTAGATACATACCCACTTATCAGGATTTGGTTCTAGGATCCACATATGAGGGAGAACATGTGTCGATTTTTTTTCTGAGTCTGTTTTACTTAGTATAACAGTTTCTAGTTCCATCCACTTTTAAATCTTGCTGAACTAGTTTAGCTATCCACTGAACTGTCCACTAACTTTCAGTTTTTCATCCTCGGATATAGTGAATTAAAGGGTCAGCTCTTTGGACTAGTAGTCTCATTGGTGAGGTACATGTCACAGGTCCTTCATTAATAATTTCAGTGCTTAGAGATGTTTAGAATTCAGAAAGGGCTAAGTAAGAATTTAGAATATCAATAAGTCCAGCCACTATAGGAATCAATATGGAAGCTTCTCAACAATTGAAGTAGAACTTTTACAAGACCCAGCAGCATCAATTCTGGATATAGGCTCAAAAGAATCAAAGTTGGCTTACTATAGAGATAGCTGCATACCAGTTTTGTTGCGATGCTAGTCTCTATAGCCAAGCCATGGAATTAGTCCAGGTGCCCATCAACAAATAAAACCAGTGTGGTATCTATGGGGAATTACTTAGTCATAAAGAAAAATAAAAGTATGTCATTTTCAGACAAATGACTGAAACTAGAGAACATTATGTTAAGCAAAATAAGCCAAACAGAAAGACAAATATCACGTTTTCTCTCATGTATAATTTAGAGAGAGAAAAAAGTGAAGGCCGTGAAAGCAAAAGAGATATGAAAAGGGAAAAGTGGAGGCGGGAAGGTCATAAGGAGGGTAGTAAAGGTGTGAATGTATGTGATCACAGTATGTTAACATGCATGTATGGAAATGTCACTATGAAACCCATCTTTGTATAATTAATGTATGCCAACTTAAAATATGTATTTAAATAAAACACAATTGAAGCTGGGCATGGTGATGCAGGTGGATCTCTGGGAGTTCAAGGCCAGCCTGGTCTACATAGCAAGTGTCAGGCCAGCTGGGAATACAAGAAGACCCTGTCTCAGAAAGATCAAGAAAGAAAGAGAGAGAGAGAGAAACAGAGAAAGAGAGAGAGAGAGGAGGGAGGGAGGGAGGGAGGAAGGAAGGAAGGAAGGAAGGAAGGAAGGAAGGAAGGAAGGAAGGAAGGAAGGAAAGAAAGACCACACTTGGAAAATAACTGTTTTGTTTGATATCTTTATTCACTTTCAATCGCATACACTCAAGGACTACAACTGGGGTGTTCTGGAAGTAAAACCCAAAATCTTACATTTCATCCACGTAGGCTTCAAACCAGAACAACTGTCTGTCTCTGAAACACGATTGCTTCTCTGAACCATCTCATACTGTTCAAGGCAGAAAGAATCCATTGATTTTGTGTGTAAATGTGGAATGCCGGGATTTGGATCAGTGACTTGGTCATGGCTGTAAAGAAGAATAAGTGAGTCTGAAAACTGAAGTCTTGGAACAGAGCGCACTGGTTAATTGGGTTTCTGATTAACTATGGGTTAATGAGAAGACACTTTTTGTCTGAAATCTCTCTAAACTGCCTCAGTCCATTTCCTTGCTTTAATACGTAGCCTAATGGACATAATTAAACCTCCTCCTACTGATGCAGCATCCTGCAGTGCCTCGGGATCATTGCCCTGAACACAATATATAATTCTATGCTGCACTGTAGCTACAGAAGGTGCAGGATTCAGAGTGGCTCCTACGCATTTCATTATTTAAAAAAATACTCATGGGGCCAGAGAGATGGATCAGCAAGAGAACACTTGCTTGGCAGGTCCAGCATGGCATAAATAAACAAATATTAAATTGATAAATCTATGGGATTTGTGCCTTTCCATGTACTGTAAATGTATTATCAATCAATCAATAAATAATAAATGCCTGCTATATCCTTGAATAACAGACCAATCCTTCAATTCACAGGAACCTTTGAGTTTATGAAATTAATGCCATTACCTAACATGTGAGAGAACCTAGAGACAAAAATAGCAATGGGGATTTGGATACTTAGAGTTATAACAGTGTCTGCTCACTGTAAATCCAGAAGACCTGTATGCATGCTGTGCTGCCACTGTCCATTGACAGGAGATGCTGGTCATTTCTCTCTCTTCCCCCAGAAGTGTGGAGTTCAATCTCAAATTTGGTTCTTCAAGATTTTTGGTTAAATGAATGTAAATTCCACTAAAATGTCAGCTCCACAGGGTCAGGGGCTTGTGTCTGTTCATTCATTGATAAATTCCGAACACCTGGAACAAAGCCTGCTGCCTTAGAAGGTCCCTAATGTTGACAGAATGAAATGAAATGAAGATTGAATATTTATTATTTATTATGCACAAGATAGCTTGACTTTAGGACATGTAACAAATGAAACCCATGGCCCTGTGTTTTATAACATGAAGCTTTACATTAATTTATTGGACATTCATTAAAATTCGTGATGCATAGATTAAATTAATATCGGAGCTAGGCATGTAGCTCAGAAGTACTAAGTTCAATTCCCGGCTCTGAAAAGAAAATAAAAAGCCAAGTTAGACTCATTATAACCAAAACTTTGAGGACAGAATTATAAAATGAAAGACAAAGATATTAAATAATTATTCTGGTAAAACATCTTGAGCTTTTGTCATACTTTATCTGTCTGTCTCAAGTACAAAGTGCTTTTAGTTAGGAATTCAGATATTAAACTGTAAAAATGGCTGGGCATGGTGGCACATGCCTTTAATCCCAGCATTTGGGAGGCAGAGGCAGGCGGATCTCTGAGTTCAAGGCCAGCCTGGTCTACCTAGTGAGTTCCAGGACAGCTGGGGCCACAGGGAGACCCTGTCTCAAAAAAGACCGAAAAAAAAGGGGGCTTGGAGAGGTGGCTTAGCAGTTAAGAGCACTGGCTGCTCTTGCAGAGGATCTGGGTTCCATCCCCAGCACCCACATGGGGGCTAACAACCATCCATAACTACAGTTCCAGGGGATCTGACGTCTTCTTCTGACCTCTGAGGGCATGAGTGCACTCACACACACAGGCAATAAACTCATACACACAAAATTTAAAAAAAAAACCAAAACAAAATTGTAAAAATGCTCTACTGAGACCAGGCATGGTGATAGATGTATATAATATTAGCACTCAGGAAACTGAGGCAAGAGCATCCAGGGTTTGAGACCCTGTTTCAAAATCAACACCACCACCAACAAAATCACTCTGATGAGATTCACATGAATCAACTATACAAAAAAAAGGCAACATTCACGGAGCTGGAGAGATGGTCCAGTGCGGCACTTGCAGAGGACCTGGATTCAGTTCCTGTATCCCCAGCACTCCATCCAGATCCAGGGGAGCTGATGCCTTCCTCAGACTTCTGCAGATACTACATGAACACAGTACACTTACAAGCAGGCAAAGCACTCATACACATAAAATAAAAATAAACCGACAAAAAAAACTTTAAAAAGAAAGATGATGTCAATATTCAACTTATGAAGCTGTTTTTTAATATATAGTGTCTACAGAATGAACTCACAGCTCTTAAATAAGGCCAGCAGAGCCATCAAAACATGGGAAGAGAGAAAATTCTCAGACACTGTACCCTATCCTTTTTATCAGATGTGCCCATGACTAAATCAATGAATATTTTTAAATCATCCTTCTGCATTAGGAAATATGTCAGAAACAAACTCAGGAAGAAATGACCTGTGAAAGTGCTCTCCTTGAGGACCAGTCTGAAATTAATTGTGTACTTATCTAAGGATGCAGAGTTGGTGTATTTGGACACAGACTCTTGGTTTCAATATCACAGACTGAGAAGATTACACTTTCCTACAGAGGATGCCCACGTGCTATCACCTTCCTATTCCAGAAAATGCTTTAGGCCTCCCAAATCTTGGAATTCTTTTCCCTGTAATCACCACTAAGCCATAAGTTCTTTGAAGTCAGAGTACTTGTTGAATAAGTGCATTTCAGGCACAGACTGAAGGGCCTCTGCTACCCTGTAAGATCCGTGGAAATTTAAAACAAGGGGTGTGTGGTGGTCAGAGACCTGTCCCTGGGTAGAAGGCGTGGGTAAGATAAGGGAAATGAGGACTTGCCTCCTTACTGGAGCTCCAGTCCTGGGTGCTTTTGAGCCCACCTCCAAATCTCTTCATCTGCAATATCACAAATGTCCACTGAGAACAGAGCTTTGTGGGAAACACAGACATGCAGAACCACCTTGCCAGTTGCCAAAGGACATCATCAAAAAGAGTGTTTCTGTCATTCCTTGTTCTTTGATGTCACCTGATTTCTAAACACACCTAGTAGGGCCTTCCATGAGCCCTGGAGAGTCTGCCTTTTGGGTAGAGTTCTGGCTTCTGTGTTCTTACGTTCAGATTTCTGTTCAGAGCTATTTTACCCTCTTCTGAACCTGCAGTTCTATAGTTGGGGTGGTGACAAGGTGATGAAATGATGGGACATAGAGAATGTGTGGGACAGGACCCTCGGGAAGCAAAGGAGCCAAGAGCTGGCTGCCAGGCAAAGCAGCTGCGTGGAGGCCCCGGACTGCAGGGCTGGTAAGGTCGAAGGCCATCTGCAGGTTAGTTGAAAACTCAGAAGCTGGGGTGATTTGAGGGTCTCCTTTTCTGTACTAAAGCCTTGGAAAGACACTTTTCATCCCAAGCTTCGCTGATCATATAATTAATTCTAGGACTCTTGAGATGGGAAGAGAATCTGTGCTTTATCACTCTTCTTTCCAAAGGCATCTCCTTAGCAACAGGCTGATGTACAAACCACAGTGGGAAGTTGAGCTTGGGTTGCTACTTAATGTATTAACCTTTAGGAAAGGAAGTGGCACCTCGTATTTTATCATTGACATTTGGATTTGAAACTTGTCACATAAGTGGTTTTATTAGTTTTCCTCATGTGCCCTACTAACTATGTAAGGAACAAGAATCTCAACACACAAGGAGTTCAGCAGCTAACGACTGCTCTTACAGAGGACCCAGGTTCCATTACCAACACTCACATGGTAGCTAACAGTCACCTGTAACTCTAGTTCCAGGCTATCCAATACCCTCTTCTGACCTCTGTGGGCATTATACAACACAGGTGCACTTACATACATGCAGGCAATATAGTCATACACATAAAATAAAAAATAAATATTAAAAAAGAATGTCAACACACAAACCACATACCTAAAGCATAAAGCAAAACAGAGGTTAACTATTAATTTCAATGTTTCAGCTAAGAGAGGTTCTGTTGTTTTTAAATATTCTCTACTCTCTTGGCTGATTAGCTTCTTCACAGAGACAGGTGGAGAAGCCCACAGAAAAATGCATAGATTTCTCAAGAGGGCTTTGTCTTCTCACTGTCTGACAAGGGCCTTAACAAGAGCTGTCTGTGAGAGGTACAGTTCCAGTGGTCATCCCAGGCCTGATGATCTTCTTTGAAGGTGAGGATTATACTGACCTAAGACAAAATGATGCAATGATAAGTTACTCCTGGATGCCCCTCCCATTCTTGGGCCCCTACTGGCCCTGAGTCTCCATATGATCTCCTTGTTAAGAGTCTGTCTTCATTAGCTTTCAATTGCTGTGACAAAACATGCGAACCAGGACCAACTTGGGGAGGAAAGGATTTATTTGGCTTACAGCGGAGTCCATCATTGAGGAAAGTCAAGGCAGGAACCCAGGGCAGAAACCTGGAGCACAGACCATGGAGGAAAGCCGCTTACTGACTTGCTCCCCTGGCCGGTGCTCAACCTGCTTTCCTATATAATACAAGACCACCTGCCCAGGGGTGGCACTGCCCACAGTGCACTGGGCCCTCCCACACCACTCAGTAATCAAGAAAGTGCCCCAAAGACATGGCCACAAGCCAGTCTAATGGAGGTAATTCCCCAAGTGAGGTTCCCTTTAGCCAGGTGTGTCAGTGACATCTAAAGCTGTCCATCCAGCACAGGGTCTCACTAACATATTGCTCTTTCCTCTCATTTTAAAAGCTGATTTTTCTCCTCTCTGAACAAAACATTTACTTATTTTTTATTTTAATTAATTAATTATTATTATTATTATTAATTTATTTATTTATTTATTTTCATGAGTGCCAAGATGCACATGTAGATGTCTGAGGACAACTTGTGGGAATCCATTCTCTCCTTCCACAATGTAGGTCCTGGGAATTAAACTCATGTCATCAGACTTGGTGGCAAATGCCTTAACCCACTGAACCATCTTGTCAGCCTTAAATATAACCTTTTAAGTAACAATTGAATGCTGGGATATGGCTCTATCAGAGCTCTTGCTTGGTTCGTTGAAATCCTGGGCTCAGGACTTAGCACAGAAAAAAAAAAAAGCCAGTTGGCTAGCTGATCAATTAGTGAGCGAGCTGCTCCTCATCTTCTACTTGACCTAAATCATTCTGGCCTTGTCCACTACTCTATTGA